TATGAAGTGATCCAAGTGAATGTAATTGATAAAGCTACATCCTAATGACAGGGAATACTGTAGTCATCATGGGCTTTCAAGTCAGACTTTGGAGCAGACTTACAAAAAGTGCTATATTAAATAAATATTGGCTAATTATTGCAATGCATTGATTCCTTCCAAATGAATCGCTGGGAAGTGTTAAAGTCTATCTTCAAATCAAAAATCGAAACATCTGCCATATTGGAATATTTGCTATTCTATATTTTTACAAGCACATGAAAATACCTGTTTAAAAAACACACTTTCTACAAATGTCAGTTGATTCTTCATAAGAAAATAAAACATTCCACTTATTTATCTTAGTGACATTTCAGAGCAGAGTATGGTTTCTGTCCTCCCCTCTGGTAATTCTGTTCACAGTGCACTATGTTTGGAGTCCGTAATCTAGAAATGTTTAGCATGCATAATCAATAATATCCACAGCAACAGATAATAAAGCATCTTCTTTTTTAATAATTTGTAAAAACCATCCTTATACAAAACTGCCTCAACCTGTAGGAACAATAGCATCTGCAAGTTATCACTTAATTCTATCCTAACCAGGATAGAACCAGATTGCAGGAATTTTCCAATGAATTTTAAAACCCTGGATTTAAACATAGATGCCAGAGCTCCTGCAACAGTTTCTCTGAAACAATGCAGTCTCCATTCCCTTAGGATTGTTAATGGTTCTTGCAGATTTCATCCTCTGCAGACAAGCAAAAATGTTACAGTGGTTTGTGTTATCCCCATGCTGATTAGTCTCACTTTAGACTCGGCCTTGTGTCAAAGTGGGCAGTCCTGGATACAATCTGAATCAAAGAAGGTTCTTTTCTGAAGACCCAGTGTGTATACCACTCTCTCCCTTTACTTGGCTAACACTACACAGGCACAGCAGCTAGAGCAAAGATCTGCTCTTGGCAAATCTATGCTGACTTCCAGCATGTATCTAAGGCTCCTGCCCACCCTTCAAAACACCAGGTCAGGAAATAGAGCAAGGATTTCAGGAATGCTACTTTGCTGTTGTATGGTAGAATAACAGAATCTTGAAAGCCTGCAAAAGTGTCCTTCTGCCTGCTTTTATACCAAACAAAATCAAGGTGGGGTTATTTTGAGTTTCTTTCTCAGCCTTCTTTCTTTCCCAGGACCGAGCTGTCATTTGCTTAATGGTCTTTGCATTCCTTATTCAAGGTTATCTCCACGCACCCCTTTATCTCCAGCTCTGAGCAAGAGAAGCTGGGGATGCTCTAGAGCAGTGTTTCTCGACCTTGGGAACTTTAAGATGTGTGGACTTCAACTCTCAGAATTCCATGGCTGGCTGGGGAATTCTGGGAGTTGAAATCCACACACCTTAAAGTTCCCATGGTTGAGAAACACTGCTCTAGGGGGCCTGGTCTACTGCAGCAGATTCAACTATCAGCTACTGTCCATCTTCCTGGCATTCTATCTGCCCTACTTAATTAATTAGGCAGCTGCCCTTCTACAGTTCCTAAGAGAATCAATGGTGAAACTTTCGTATTCAGAAAGAATCATTCCTTGAACTACTAGGGCCCAGAAAAGGCAGTTGTCAACACCAGCAAATAAGATAAGTGAAAAGAGAAAAAAGAACGCCATTTGCTTCTGAACATCTTGGCATCTCAGAAAGTCCCGCCCTGCATGTACAGCTCTAGCAATCAGGGTCAAAACAAGGTTAAAATGTATCTCCCACTATTCAATTGCCTGTCTGCAGGGAGTTTCTGTACAGAGTAGTATTTAATGAGACCGGTTCTCCTTATCCATGTCTGCATTCCATGTCCAAATGTGCAGCCCAAAATGGAATATTGCTCTTTTGCTGAACTAAGCAAAGATCTTTCAGAAATAATTCAGACACAAGAGTACCTCATCAGAGATTCAGCTTAGTAGGAAAATGATGTCTCTGTTTCCTGCTTCTATTTTTCCTCCAATTGCTGCTTGTCAGTAAACATGCTTAACCAGATGAAACTATCAAGGGAGAAAATCACTGAGCCAACAGCAATACTGTGTGTAATTATGGTGTTTTCTATATAAATTCTAACATATCTTACAACTTTATGTGCTTCAAGACTAATCAGACTAGGACTAATCAGGTAGGATCTTAACTCAAGAACATTTTTAAAAAATATACTACTGCTGCTTTCTACCATTGATTTGCTCAATATATATTTCATATACGTAAAATATTTATTAAAGTGGCTGCTAGTTAAGGAAGAAATGTATATAGAAGTAGTGTCAAGCTACCAGAAAGTCAAAAAAGCAGCAATAATTTTCAATAATATTAGAGAATGCAAAAATTAAAATTTAGTGATGGCTCTTTTGTATGTTTTAGTTGCATGTAGTCCTTCAGTGTTTCAACAAATAGGGAAGAATACATACGGTAAATAACATAAAGTATAATCCAAAATAAAACCACAGAATTACATTTAATATACATTAATATAATAGTAGAGAAAAATGGTGGACAAAATTATAAGCACAGCTACTATTGTAATGCAGGCATAACCAAAGACTTCCAGGATTTAAGGTACTTGCCTCCCAAATGTGAACTGAAGCTGGAAATGAAGTTGTCTGAAAAAATCCCTTTGGGGATTTCTTCCTCTGGTTGTAGCTAGGGTGATGGGCTGATGTACAGAGTGGACCACATTTACCATGGTCCCTGATTGGTGGATTTCCTCTCTTCTTTGCCTTTTTTTGCCATGAAGAAGAAGGAAGGAAGGAAGGAAGGAAGGAAGGAAGGAAGGAAGGAAGGAAGGAAGGCAGGAAGGAAGGAAGGAAGGAAGGAAGGAAGGAAGGCAGGAAGGAAGGAAGGAAGGAAGGAAGGAAGGAAGGCAGGAAGGAAGGAAGGAAGGAAGGAAGGAAGGAAGGCAGGAAGGAAGGAAGGAAGGAAGGAAGGAAGGAAGGCAGGAAGGAAGGAAGGAAGGAAGGAAGGAAGGAAGGCAGGAAGGAAGGAAGGAAGGAAGGAAGGAAGGAAGGAAGGAAGGAAGGAAGGAAGGAGATATTACAATTTACCTTTTTTTCTTTCACTTGGACTGGAAAGAGAAAATAGCAGAACCTTGTCAGCTTCACCTTTTTTTATTTTTTAAACATAGATCCATCCTTTCACCCTTCCATCAGAACATTTGAAGAAAAATAAAACCTGCCTGCTCATTGTTCCACTGGTGAACTTGTAAAAATATTTTGGTCCTGGAGGGCACCAATCAATGTCAGGGGAAAGAAGGCTTTCTGGCCACAAAGCCACTGAAGTAGAAATGTTTGTCTTGTAGACTTCGCAGTGAAGTGCAGCAAGTAAACCAGGCATGACCGTTTGAACTAGCACAAGTCAGAAAACATTACCTTTGATGCATAGCAGGGAAAGATGGGCAGGTGTTGTCTTCCTGGTAGGCAGGGTGAGAGTAGAAGATGACATTGTGTGTTCCTGCCCCATCAGTAACTTTTACTCATCCCAGGGCAAGCTGATCTTGTGGATCAGCCCTTAGTCAATGTTAGTAAGGTTTACCATCAAGCAATTTGGTTGAAATTTTGCAAGTAATATACTCCAAGGATAGCTCCAAGTACAAAAGTTCTACATACTTTTAGTGCTACTAATGGAGCAAAAATCTTTTGTCATGAACTCAGATGTGCAT